ATTGACTATAAAAGAAATTTGACCAATTTTTTTATTTTTCTTTGATCTTACTTTTTTTATTTTATTTAAAGTGATTTCCAATACTTAACTTTTAGCTTTGGTTTAAACATTTCATAAAAAGAAAAATCTAATACAAACAAAAAATTTGATATTTTTTTTTTTATTTTATTTTATTTTATTTTTTTGCACAACTTTTAATATTGCAATAATATACATATTCAGCTCTATCTATCTTATTACCTTTATTTTATAGACATTGGTTCAATTTTTTTTTTAACAATAAGCAATATCGAAGATAATAATAAAGGTGATACTTATAAACATTCTGAAAAGCTTATGTCTTTTGAAATTTCTAAAGAACCTATATCTTTTGAACTTTCTAAAAAATCTATATCTTACTCAAATTATAAAACTAGTGATAATATATCTATTAGTTCTAATAGCACAACTCTTTTTGTGAAAGAACAACCTTTTAATACAAAAAAAAAAGAAATTAAATAAATCAAAACAATTAAACTATCAAAATTTAAGGTGGCAATATGCGAAGTCAAGTTGGGTGTAGAAATACTTTAAATTAAGTAATGATAGAATATATGATATATGTAAAGTCAAAATGATGAATTTAAACAATAAAGAGATTGTATATGATTACAAATTTCTTCATAACAGTAGTATAGGAAATATAAGCAGTTACCTTCAAAGCAAGCATGATTTATATGAAAATCAGAATAAGGTAAGTTTTATATTAATTAATATTTAATATAATTAATTACTATATATTAATAAATATTTATATAATTACTATATAGACTCATAATTCTAGTATTTAACAGACAATATCTGAGATTTTTGAACAGTCAAAAGTTATTAAAATGTATAAGGAAGCACAAAATCAAGAGATTCAACAAGCTATAGCTGAGTAGATTATTATTGACAATTTGTTGTTTAACATAATTAAGGGAAAGGGTTACCAAAAGATGATGAAAATTGTTGATCTAGCCTTTCGTTTTCCTACTGATAAAGGAATAAAAAAGGAAATTATTAGCAATTATCCCAATGCA